AAAAGCAAAGACTTTTGTGTTTGTTTCTTGAGTGGGTATACTGAATGTATATTCTTCATGTCCTTTTTTTTTTTTTTAAACTGTTTGTGAATTGAACACATCCATTCTTCAGGTGATCCTCATCTCCTGCACTTGTGTTTATTGGCACTTTTGCAGTGCAATCCAAGCAGACTTGAAATGTAGTTAGCTTTTATGGAAAAGTGGAAAATTAACTTAAAAGGTAATTAATTGTCTGGGGTCCCACACGCGTAGGCTGTCCCCTGCAGCAGGTTGCCGTTGCTCTGACTCCCATGCCCGGGACACGCGTCTGGTCAGATGAGGCAGCAAGGACTTTGCCTGATCAGGACCTGTGACTGGGTAAATAACACGTCTGCAGCTGAAATAAAGCCCCACAATATAGCTCTCTTCGGTGCCTTTGCCACAGTCTAACCTTCCACGATAGATGTTAAGAAGACTTGGTAGCGTTTATGAGAAACATCAGCTTCCCTAATCGTTCATTGATCTGTTGTTCTGGGCAGAATGATGAAGTTTTTGCTGTTATTTTGCTCTGTTTCACTCAGATTCATTTGACTTGAGCCGAAGGATGATTTAGATGTCAAGGAACAATCTTGCCTTTTACTCCCAGCTGTCAGGATAATTCTGGCTTTGCTGTTGGGAGCTTAAAATGCTTTACCTGTGCTCAGCTAATATCAGTTGTAATTAAGGGAACAGGTTGTCTAGAGCTCATTTTTACAGTTCATCACCTGAAAAAGAACCTCTGAAAATAACCCTTGTATTTTTGGTGTCATTTTGGGACCCCGTTTCTCTGTTTGCTCTGAGCGTGCCCGTGCTCCCCCTCTGAAGACGCCGCCCTGGTGCAGCTTAGGGGTGCAGCAGCCGCCGAGCAGCCGCCATGTTGTGGCTGCCCCAGCGTGGCTGAGGAGATCAAAGGTCACCATGTTGTGGCAGCCCCTCAAGGCACCTGGCGGTACAAGGAGCTTCAGGATATACAGCCCTCACTGGGTCCGTTGTCATCAAAGGGTAACATGTTTTTAGATTTAAAAACAAAACATAGGCTGTGTCAGGAAAAGTAGAGGCCAGTAGGAGACTGGTTTATAGTCTCCCGTGCCTGTTTTTTGGGTTCAGGGCAGTGCTGGGCCTTGAGAACAGCACACTGTGGAGCTCAAGAACTCATCTCCCATCTGAAAATGAGTGTAGATGAAGAGCTTTCCTCTGGTAAATATATCAGACTTGAATCCTGTGGCTTGGTATCATTTTGAAGCAGCTCATAAGGCTTTAGATTTGTCAGGGATTAATATCCCCTCTCCCCCCTCCTCCCCCCCATCTCCCATTTTCTTCCCTGCTAGAAGCGTGCTCTTTCTTATTTCAGGATCTGACACCTAACAGACCCAGTCAGAGGAGCAGATACTTTTGGCTCTTGAGTCCTCAAAGGTGTCTCCTCAGCTGCTTTTGAACAGCCAGGAGTCTCGTCAGAGGACTTGATGAAGAGCGACCCTTGTCCCTTTGCAACAGGGAACCTGGGTGTTTCAGCCTGTTCTTCATTCAAATCTTCCTGCTGTCGTATATAAACAGCTTTGGGGAGCCAAAATGCATTTACTGAAGCAGCCGGAGATACAGGAGCCTGAGTCTTTTGCTACCTCACTCAATGGCTTCTTCATGTAACCGGTCATGTCTGACGAGATGGAAAGGTGACCCTTAAGGAAGGCAAGGTCACACTGGCCGGGAATTCCCAGTCAAAATAATGCTGTAATGGGGGTGGGAAGGAGTCCCGCAAAATCACAGTGATCAGGAAGCAAGACTGGAGGTTGCCAGAGTTCGTTTGGCTTTACGCATCAGAAACTTTTAGCATTAACTCTGTTGGAGATTAATCTACCTCTTTCCATTCCATGGGAACAAAATGCAGTTATTTGCATCCTTGTCTCCTTTTTTTTCCTGAGGGACAAACTCGTGAGAAATGTATTTTTGCAAGGACCTCCAGCCCCAGCAGGAGAATGAATCTAGGAGGTGACACTCAAACAACCACTGCAGGGAGTCACTTGAACTTTTTGGTGGAACACAGATTAATGCTGAAGCAAAAGCAGCTCATATAGAGCATTAGGATACCTGAGCTTATACCCAAGTACAGGATACCTGAAGAGGAAAGCATTCAGCCTTGTGTACAAAGGATGAGAGGTTCAAATCATGCCTAACCTTGACATGACTTGCGTGTCTGCAGTGACTCCAACAAGGCTTGGAGTGAGCTCCAAGCAGGCAGGTGTCCATTTTCAGTAAGAATCATGTCAAAACTTGCGGTGACTGGCAGTGGCAGTGTTGGCCTGGAGTGGCCAAAACCTGAGCTGCCTGCTGCACTCCCAGTGCGTTTTTTTCAAGCTGGATCAGTCATAAAACACACCATCCTGCAAAACATGTTGCTCTGCCTTTTTCATTCAAATATGAATTAAAAAATAAAGTAAAACCCCAAATTAAAATAACAGACCACTAGATTTGGTCAGTCAGGTTGCTATGTTCCAGTAAATTAGCAACACTTTGGTTTATTTTTGTAATTTTGTTTTGGAAGGATTAACATGGTAGTTTCTCTGGCAAATAAATAGGTATTGCAGTATGGTGGTCAAAATACTTGCCATAATTAGTCATTTCATTCAGATAAACCAAATAAAGTACAGGGCTTCTGGGGTAGTTCACAATTATCAATGACAAAACTTTGTCCTTTTCTCGCCTCTATTTTTTTCTCATTTTAAAAAAAAAACAAACTTTGGAATGAAGTTTTGCTGCTCTGCGTGTGTAATTTCAGTGCCATGCTGAATTAGGGACCTTTCAGATGGACTTGCTGTTTGGCAGTAAATAAGGCATACCCTAAAAATAGAAAACGTGGTTATAAGTGACAAAAACTGGCAGGGAGGACTTGGTCAGATGCAGTTTTGGAACTCCTTCTAATTTTTTTCAACTCAATTCCAAGTTAAACATCCCTTTAAATTAATTAGAGCAATCACAGTATTCCTAGAATATCAGTGGAGAAATTGAAGCCATTAGTATAATTTTAATATTTCCTGAATTCTGAAGAGAGGCTAAAAAAGACAGCTTAAGGAAATTTTTGTGTACAATGAAAATGAATTCCTGATCCAACTGGCTAAGGTGAAATGTCTGAAAGCAAGGAGCTATCATGAAAGTGCTGGAAAGCTTCTGATTATAATGGAATCAGTGTCCCAGGGTATAATGCAGCTCTACATTTAATAGTGAGCTACTGAACTGTACTTCTCAACCTTGCTCCACTCAGTGGGTTCTCATCGAAGTCCTGTAATGACACTGTGCTCTGTTAAGATGCCAAGCAAGTCTTGAAATAGCTGCAGAGCTTTTTCAGCTGCTTCAGCTGAGTACAGACATCTGACTATTTTGCGGCACATAAATCCTTCCCTATGTATACTGCCACACTTGTTAATAATCTTAGCAAACTTTTATAAACCTAATTAAAAAGCTTTTGCACACTTAAATGTGAAATCATGGCAACAGCACTGAACCAGCAAAGCAAAAGCCTGTCCTTTGTGTTGCAAATCCATGTTGCCTTTATTAATGATACATACACAACACATTCAATTTGATGCCTGCTATTGTTTGCCTGTTTGTTTTTATTACAATATTGACTGGAGTTGCCATCATGTTAGTTATAGTCTGTGCATATTACTCTAAGCAGAATTTTTCTTTCTGTGTATTGTTTAAGGTATTGACTTTGCCAAAGGGAAGAAAAAATTGCATGCATCCGCTTAAGCACACAAGTAGTTGTATCAATTTCTGTCCATTAAATATACATACACACATAAATACACATATACATTGGTTGCAGGCTGTTGCAGGCATGAAGTTAGGTGAGATTTCAAAACCGTATTTGAGACACCCTTTTCGACATGGAGGTCTTGTTACTGGGAGCAGCTCTGGGCAGGAGCATCCCTCAGCCTGTGTGAAGTCCTGCTGAGGCTGGTGGGGCTATATGCGAGTGTTGAAATGACACCTTTTGAAAGTATTTGCATATTTCTAGGCCATTTATTTAAATTCCTCAGAATGAACTTAATTTTCTAAAAGAAAACTTTGTTTTCTAAAAGAGATGCTTTAAATCTTTTTTTAAATTCTAAAAACATTTTAATTCTGTTAATCTTTCGGACTTTGAAAAACTCTTTCTAGTTATTGGGTTTTGGGGTGTTTTTTCTCTTTACAACCTGGGCAATCAATTCCTGAGTATGAGCAGGAGGGTTATTGAGTAGTTCACCTAAAGCAAAGAAAGATTTCAGCCAACTCAAAGATGCAGCAATCATTCTGCTAAAGATTTTGATACTGATGTTGATCGAAGTCTGGGATATATAGCATGTATGGTTCCAGCAGTTCCAAATGAAAGTTGAAGTTGAATCTTTGCAAATGTTCAATGATTGATTTCATTTAGAAGCACAAAAGTGGGTATTAATACAATTGTGCTTTGTCTTTTTTTCACTCTTCCAAACCTGCCCCCCATTTCTACCATCAGTTCCTGTTTGATGGTGAGCTCTTCCAGAGGACTTTCTCTTACCCCATGTTGTGTCCCTCCAGTCTCACCCTGAGATATCCTGTAGAACAGAGAGTTACTTGTAGAAAATGTTATCGGAACTATGGCGTTGCCCCAGTGGATTCTGCTCATGTTCTGCAGAGGCCTTTGACCTGTTCCCTGCTTTGTGTAGTGCAGAGTCGTCGTTTCGTGCATCTTTAGTACTTTACTGTGAATTTGTGCTCAAGTTTAATAAAAATGAGAAGAACTGCTGCCTCTTTATATTCTACTTTTCAAATGAGTAGCTCTAATGAACTCAGTTGAAATGAAACAAAATGTGCGTAAAATCAGTAAGTTGAAACAGACTTTATTTTCCAATTGTTTTTTTTTCTTGGGTACAAACATCTCATACTAAAGCATCCACTGTATGAGAAATTCAGATCAATTTAAGATGGACTTGTTTTAATGTGTCTGTTTCATTTTTGCCTTTCAGTCTATCCGAGAGGTCACAGGCTATGTTTTGGTGGCTTTGAATCAGTTTGAGTACCTGCCACTGGAGAACCTGCGCATCGTTCGTGGGACCAAACTCTATGAAGAGCGATATGCTTTGGCGATATTTCTTAACTACAGAAAGGATGGTAACTTCGGACTCAGGGAACTTGGCTTGAAGAATTTGACAGGTAAGTGAAACTTGCAAATGTGATGGATTAGTCACAAGAAAAAAAAGAGCTTGCTGATTATTTGCCCCAATGCCCTCAGTCACTTGCATTCTGCAAATAATGAAACTACCATGAGAGGCTGGCAGTTGTACGTTGTTTGAGAGGTGCATTGCTACTTCATTCCCTTTTTGGTTCACAACTGTACTTTTCTCCGTACTGATCAAACGCTGTGCATGAAAGTCAGACCAAAAGTGTATTTGAAACAGAAACAGCTGTTGAAAGAGGAGATAAACTTTTTTCTTCATTCTGATGTCATGACCATGTTGGTTTCCTTGTGATCCTTGGTTATTGCATGTGTGTTGCTTCAGGTGTTACGTGTTTTCTGCCAAGTTACCTTAGCTTTAGCATCCCCTCTGCCTCTGCTCTTGCCCCTGTCTGTGTGACCATTGCTGCTGCACTGGGGAGTGGGGGGAAAGGACGGGGGTGGGAGGGAGAGACTGTATCTTTGGTATATTTAATTTTAGAACTCCCTTTTCTAAGCAAAAATAGTGCGTAATATATAGTGAGAAAAGTGCTTATTTTCTTGAGACAAAAATGTAAGCCAAGTCCATGGTTTTATGTTCATCTGTAAATTCAGGGCTAGATCATGAAGTGAGGTAGATCAACATTTCCCAGCTGAGGATCTATAGTCAGTGGCTTGGGAGATTAAAAATTGGCTAAATATCACTGGACTGTAATAAAGTGCAGGCAGTGGCAAACTCTTTTAGGGAGTTCACTGGAAGTATTTTATTTATGTGTTGTTCCTCATCAGCTATAATCATTTCTACCCTAAGCTTGGGTGATTGTGAAAAGGCCTTATTTCTGTTAGTGGGTGAATGCTGACTCAAAATCACTGACCTGAGCTGGATGTGGAGTTTGAACCCGAGTACAGGGAGGTGGGAGCCTTCTAAACTATATTTAGGCACCTTTCACTTCCTGCTTTTTTTGTGTTGCAGTATTCAGAGCAGCACACAAATGCTTACAATTCCCTGTTGTTCAAGCCTCGCCGTGCTGTACAGCTAAGCTTTCAAAAACAGGAGGGATAAGGAAGCTTGAAATACTTTACAAAATAAAACAATTTTGGCTGACACTTTCTGATCAGGCTCTTTCTTCTGGTTATACTTTTAACAATTTTCTCTACTGAGACCATCATGCTAATGTCAGAGTGCTTCACAAGGTCGCTAAATCCCTGTCATCTACTGCTCTTCTCTCTATCACTGTCATAACCCCAATTTCCTCCTCTTCTGTTCCCACATTTCTTCCCATTTTTCTGATTTAGGGTATTCATTGTGACTGTCTATGCCTTCACATAATACAGAGCCATAGCATCAGATAATAATATTACCTCTTTCTTCGTATACTTTTTCTTGTTTGTGCATCTCAAAATGCTTTGGAAGAGACATTAAGACATTAGTCTGGGTGAAACTGAGACAGAGAGGTGGTATGAGGCCAAGGCCAGAGGAGGACTGGAACCCTTTCTTCTTGGGTCTGAGGCTGCTGTTCTGCCAGGAAGGGAGGGTTCTATTTTCAGTGCTTGTTTAGCCATGGCTTTGCTGCTCAGTAAGGTGAAAAAATTTATTTTGTAGGCTTGGGCTCAAGATTTTCTTCTTAAACCAGCTGCCCTATGCTAATAGGCAGTTCCTTTGACTCCAGAGATTCTTTCTGGAAGCTGCTTTTATGTGATAGGCACAGCACCAAAGCTACCCAGCAAACAGCTTGACTTTCTTTTCAAGCATCGTAGGAAAACCTGCCTTAGCTCAGCCTCTGAATCTTTCCTAGCATGAGATCATCACTGCCACTTCTTATGATTTAGGTGTTTGCAAAGCTCTCTGATGGGATTATTTGGCTCAAAATGTATTGTTGTCTCTTGGACGAAAAATGCCCTAATAACACTAGCTTGTCTCCACTGAGCACTTAAAATAGCTTCTGGGTGTGGAGTATGAGCCAGTGTGTGCTTCAAAATACTCTTAATATTTTCTAGATAGTATGTCAGGGCCTCATGAGTCTCTTCAGCAGCTGTTCTTTGACCATTTTGTATACTGGTTAAGACGCACCTGGCTATTTTAACCCACAACCTGCTTCTTGTTGCAAATGCTGCCCCTGGAGCATATTATTACTTAATTTATTTTCCTAACATATCCTTAGCCTTAGTAACTGCGTAAAAATAACTGGTGGATGTGGCAGTCACTGATGTTGCAAGGCTGCAATAGATCAGCTGTGTCTGCACCTATCCTGTGTCTACCAACTGCTCCATATTTACATCCAAAACAAGCAGTGATTTGTTATTAATTTAAGATGACGAGTGAGCTTGTATCCTTCAAGCTTCTAGTCCACTGCAGATTTCAAGACATTGACTTTGAATGGTGCATCTCTTCCACTTGAGTAAAATATAAACAATAACTCTTGCCTTGCATGTGAAGAACTGTCTTTCCAGGGCTTATGCCTTGTGCACAGAAGTTTGGGAAGTTCTGTTCCTATTTGTGCAGTGTCTGGATGATGGGATCCTGAGGGTATTTTTGGCCAGTACTGTACAATGTACAAATACAAACACTACTCCCTGTGTTAAATAAGTGAGGAAGCTGCGCTCACCTGCGGATTATCCTCAGGCTTAACCAGAGACAGGGTTTTAGCCTCCTGTGAAGTACCATTGCATTATTTTCAGTGTGTTGTTAACAGCTGTGTTTTTATTGCCAGATATGTCTGTCAGGTTTTCATATTTAAATGTAAGTTTAAATAACTGCATTTCCTCCCTTGCGCTACAAAAAAATGACAGCTATGAAGGCAGGAAGTTTTATCTGACACAGAAAACATGATCCAGTTCTCACTTGTGATGTATGTCAACCTGTAATGGAGTTTTGTTTGTGTAGCGCAGGCCAGGACCATGTCCCAGTATTCAGGTGACACTTGCAAAAAATTTTACCTATAAAAATCCTTTTTTCACTTGTTACAAATCTTTGTCAATGGTTTCACAAAAGTGTCAGAAACAAACAGACATTGAACTAATGAAGTGGCTGCTGCCATCTCAGCTGGACTCATCTCATCTTGCAGATTCAGCTGCCAAGTAGCCTTAAAGTAAAAAGGAAGGTTTGACATACTGAATGTATTATTCAGCCTGAGATTAGCAGAATAACCAATGCTGAGGGAGAAGGTATGCCACCTTCTTCCATTCATTGCCTGTGAGCTAGTGCAAATCATTCCTGTCTTCCCCAGGTAGCTAGGCAGTCAACCTTAAATTATCCAATGAAAGGGCATAATCATTGTTCACGCTTTGAGTACTCCAAATATAGAGAATACCTGATGGCTGCTTTTCATTACGACATTTATCTTCATGAGTGGGGAAAGAGGGATGACTCATAAGTGCCAAAACCACTTATGAGGTATCCCATATTCTCCTCTGATTGAAGATGAATAAGAGAGATCTACAGCACATGATGTATCTTTGACTGCGCAGTGATAATCTCATCTTTCCTATTGGCCTTGGGGCAGAGGCTGTGCTGTATGTATTAAAATATATTAGAATAAAATGGACTTAGAAGTGATTAGTTCAGTAAGACAAAAAAATAGCAAAATCTGTAGTTTTTTATTTGCTTGTTTTGCAGGAAT